GGTTTGATATCCATCTGAAAGGAGTATGTCGGGGTCTTTAGGGTTCTGTGGAAGTAGGGCTTCCATTCCTGTAGGACAGTCTCCTTACCCTTCAGGGATCTCTACTATTTGTATGTTTGAATGCTTCATGGAGTCTTGTAGTTCTCTAAGTTCCTGTTCTGCTTTATCTCTCTTCTTTTCTGCCTCTTTAACTCGAAAACTTTATCCTCTAACTCTGAGGTTCTTTCTTCATGGTCTAACCTAGTTTTGATACTGTCTACTGCATCTTCACATCCCCTAATTGTCTCCTTCATTTCCTTCAGCTCTGCCGTATTCTTCCCATATTTTGCTTATCTCTTGTCCAACTTTTGGTTCTGTCTTCCCATTTCTTCATCCATTCTCTTTATTGTCTTCATTATTCATATTTTAAATTCCCTTTCTGTCAAGTCCATTAATTCTTTATAGCTGGAATCTTCTGCAGCAGCTGCCTCATGGTCCCTTGGGGAAGTTCCTCTGTTGTGGCTTTTCATGTTGCCCGAATTTTTCTATTGGTTACTCCTCCTGTGTTCTTTCTTCTTGTTCACCTCTCTGTCCTCTTTTTTCTTTCTCACTTCTCCTCTGCTTCAAATTACCTTGTCTCCGAGCTTAGACCTTGAAGTGGCCTCAGCCTGAGCAAAGCCAAACTCTTCCTCATGACCAAATATACAAAAGTTCTTGCTCTTGATGACAGTATGTTGCAGTATGTCGCCAGGACACCAGGTGATGCTGTGGTTTTTAGGGGATAGAGAACACAGCCAGCAACCTCTATGATCCTAATTCCAAACTCAGTTGCTTTCAGTAACCACCTGATTATTTCCTCACCATTCAGACCCTGCTGGGTTGGGATCCTAAAGGTCACAAGAATTCTCCAGGGGCAGGTCTCACAGTGCTCCCCTACCCCAGTTCCAGTGGGGTGCAGATGTCCCTCAGCCTGTTCCAAGAGTGGAGTTCTGATCCCAGCAGGTGATTAATTCCCATCAGGATTTATGATGGCCATGCTTTGGCTGCCTCACCAGCCACCAAACCTGTGGCAAATCCACTCCAACCAGCATTCAGATCTGGTTGCTCTATACCGTTTGAGTGCCCCCCACTCTTCCAAGCTTTCCACTCACCCATGAAGCTTCCCCCAACAACTGGAAACTTCAAAAGGCTTCTTCCCATCCTGGACTTCTGTAGGGGCCAGCTGATCCCAGCCAGTTGCAATCACTTGCCTAATTCATCAGATTTCCTCCACTCCAGATCATACACTGTATTTAGCTCACCACTTCCTCACTGTGGTCCCTGAGCTATGACTCTAGGTAAAGTTCTTGGGCCAGGTATGGCTGGGGTCTTTCTTTTTCCTCAGTCATTCTAAGAGAGCACAACTGAACCATCCTTCTGGTCTGTCATCTTACATTCCCCGCCCCCCGCCAAATGAAACCCTTTTTAAAAGATAAGCTCTGGGAAAAAAAATCAGCATCTTTGCCTGTATCTTAAAAGGCATGAGTATCTTCTGCATTCCCACTCCCACAACCTCCACTACTGCACCTGCATTGTTTTTATAACAAGTTCTGGTGAAGTTTCAGTAGGACAGGCACAAAATTGCATATTACAAAGTCTAGTGAGAATTTCATTCCATGCAATGGAAAGATCTTAGAAGAACACTATAAATGGTCTTTCCATGATAGCAGATAAGATGGTTAAAGTTACTGTTATAGTCTTTCTTTAGGATGATGCATTGAATTCTAATTCTAGTTCTTCCCATCCCAGAATGATTAGGCACTAAGGAGTAAGCAGGAGTAATCAAAATCACAAAATCATATCCACAAAAAGGTTCATCCATCCCAAGAGGGAAAATGACCTATGAGAGTTAAAAATAAGAGCAAAATGCAGAAACTAAGGCCATTTGTGTAACTTTTATGCAGATAACTAGTTAATGGCCCAATGTAATGGTGCTTAATTTGTTTGAATCGTAGGAATAGTCTTGAGAAAATTGAAATGGGCTATTAGTAAATGATAGAAGTGATCTAAAAGCCATCCTATAAGATTTTCTCTCCTCACTAAACATGATAGAACAGACCCTTTGCCTGTCTATCACAAAGTATTAACACAGTATGGAAAACTTTTCCTTTCTGTTTTTCATCAGCTGGCCATGTGAACGTGCCTTTCAGCTCATAATTAACCAGTATGTGGACATCTCCCATTGATACCATTATAGTGGTACATGTACTAGTAGTAGTCTATATTTTTAAATTATTTGCTAATATGTAAAAACTATATGGAATTAAAAGCCAAAACTTGTGAGAAACATTCAATGTTTTCTCCAATATTAATAATCTAACATGTCAGTTCCATCTCCCTACCAGCTCCATTCACCAACCAGACAAGCTTGGGTGGCTGGTTGTCAAGATTCTAGGCAGTGTCCACAAACAGCTATCTTCTGATGTCCAAAATATTGTAAGAGAGGTATTTGGAATTTGTGACAATAAGTTTCTCAGAATTTGAATTTATATATTCTTGCTAGAAGTAGTCATGTATTTTGACATAAAACATTCTGTATTTTTCCTCACTTCAAAAAAGACAAAAACCTAACCTTAATCCCACATTCCCCCCACCCCCACCTCACGTGCCATTCCCTAACAACTATTCCATTTTCTCCCACTTTTCTTTGTAAAATAACTTCTTAAAAGAGGTTTGGTGTCTTTTTTCACCTGCTCACTTTCTTGCCCCCCACCCCATTCCAGTTTAGCTGTCCACCCTAACTACTCCATGGATAGTGTCCTTACCAAGACCCATCTGTCTCTGCACCATCAGTCCCAGTGTGCGTTTTCTCGCCTCACGTCGGGAGTCTTCTCAACACAGCAGACATTACCTCTTCCCTGGTGCACTGTCTGCTGTCGGCTTTCGTGGTCCTCAGGCTCCTCATATCTTCCTCTGTCACTGGCCATTCTTTCTCAGTCTTCCACAGTCTTCTCCTACGTGTGACTTCTCGCAGCTTCCTCTGAACTCCTTTCTTTCCTTCCCTTTCCCTTTTTCCCTAAAAGGTGTCATTCAGTCTCTCAGTCTTCAACACCATGAATGTGCTGCAGGTTCCCAAGCTTATTTCACCAAGACTTCTCTGAACTCCAGACTCCTCTCTGTAACAGACTACTTTATATCTCCATTTGGAAATCAGAGACATCTCAAGGGTTTGTGTATCCTATATTTTGGATTGGCTCATTTTTTAAACTATCCTTACAATTATGTTAAAATCATTATTTCAACATCATTTGCAGGCTCCTGCTCCATCTCCCAACTCCAGGATTAGAATATATTTTTTCTGTTTTTGCTCTATACCAAAGAGAGTTTTTCAATTCCTGGTTCATCTCCAACTCAGACATCTCTTCTAATCTTCAGACTTACTTATCCATCTGTCTAATTGACAGTAATCAGCACTTAGGTCTTACAGATGTCTCAGACTGTACACATCTTCACATTGTTGGAATGGTTGAATCTTGCTCATTCTATAGGCTTCATAATCCCAGAGAACTCCTCCCTGTCTACTCTCTCTGAAGGAGGGCTCCTTTGTACTCTGTATCTCAGGTGTTTTTCAAAGCACATATCATAATTTGTAATTATTCATGATTCATTTACCAGTATACTTTTTGCCTTTCTTTCTCACTAGATTATAAGCTTTATGGGGGGAGGACTCTGTTTTAGTCACCATTAGTATCCTCAGAGCTTGGACAATGCCTGGCACATAGTAAGTATTCTCAATATTATTTCAGTCAGTCCATCATCCCCCCCCAAATAATTTTTCAGGGTTTCCTTTAATTTAATTACAGTATTCAAATGAATCTAAGCATAATATTGCATTGCATTCTAGCTATTTATAGATACCAGATGCTGGTAATAACCTTTTACTTGTTTTTATTCTTTTGAGGACTCTTGTAGTCATATTGAAGTCTCTTGGTACTATAAATCTTATGGTTAAAGTTAAAAAAGATAATTTTCTTCACTTGTAATGCAATAATTATTAATTAAATGTCTTTATTCCAGGATGGAAGGTTAACATTTCATCCAGAAAGTCAGGTAGTGAAACTTCCTTTTATCAATTTAATGAAAGCACATGGCACTTCCTTTCTGAATGCCTATACAAACTCTCCAATCTGTTGCCCATCACGTGCAGGTATGAATATCCTTAATATTAATGGAAAAAATGACTATACACTGAAAATATATTCATAATTTAAAAGATTATACCTAAAAGTAAGATAGTAAGTCATTTTGGCCCCAAGTAGAAATTTTTTTAATGTAAGAAATATATATTTTAAAGCATGTATTGGGTATTAGAGTTATTAGAATTTCTAATTTGTTTTTTAAGAGTAGTAAATTTTATCATTTGAATCATGTCTAATTCATGTGTTTCATTTCCTTAATGATTGGTGACTAGGAATCTTTTGACTACGCAAACAAATGAATACTCAAATGCCTTAATAGAGGTCTGTTTCCAGGGAAATTTCTTAGTAAGGCTATAAGTAATTGGGAGGACTTGTGTGGACATTAAAGTATATGACAAAGTAGATAAAACTTATTATTTTCAGCTTTTCTGAATTTTTCTATATTATTTCAGATTACATACATTATCATGTCTTTCTCTTCAGTCTCGATTCATTTCTATCCCAAATCTAATTATTCACTTTTATTATAATAATTTAACAGATAGGCATAGTTTTAATGGTAAAACATCTGACATTAAGTCATGAATAATTTTAAAAACAGGAAAATATTGCCATTGTTATAAATTCTGTCTGATAGTTATCTTTTCCTCTGTTTATAATTTAAATAGTTTATAATTGTTTGCTTTACATAAATAACTCTCAGCAAGTGTGAGGTACTGAGATGGAATTCTCTGTGATTTGAGTTAGTTCTTTACCTACATTTTTAGCATTATCAACTGTGTAATTGCCAATGATTAAAGGAAGCCTAACCTATATTGTAAATGATATCTCAATAATGAAGGACCAGGTATATATATA